AACCCTGATCAGGCCACACAGGTACAAACACTCACCAACTCCTCACAGTGTCATGCCCAGGCAGGTGCCCAGTGCCACTAGCAGGACAATACAGGGCAGCACTTTGCAGCCCATGCTGGCTTGCCTACCTCTTACTGAAGGGTCACAACAAAGAACACCACTAAGATATTAAAGAGTCAGGCCTTGGTAGAGCATTTCACAAGCTGCAATCTCAAACAGCTTTACAAAATTTAACACAGGCCAAAAAATTAGTTACAGAAAATAATTTGTAAAAGGTCCGTGTCGTTTGCCTTTAAACAGCCAAATTCAGGCTAGCAGTGGGACAGGAATTTGGTAAGACTGAAAGGTGAAGAGAAGTGTTTATGGCAAGATTTGGGGCAGAGAGTGGAGAGGAAAGATGAGTTGATGAGTCAGAAGGTAGAGAAGCCTTTTCCTGATGGTAGAGGGTGCAGAGAAGACAGCTCTTGCATCAGTGCTGAGATTGTGGAAAGGGTGAAAGAGGTGCTAGATGAGCAGAGGGAGCAAGGAAAGGAGCAGTGCAAGACCACTTCACTCTGATTGTTACTTTTTAAATTTCTTCTGCCTTTTTAGTTCTTTAGAAATGGGAAGTTAAGCTGAAAAACAAACAAACAAAATGTTACAAGAAAAAAAGAAGCAGCAGCATGTCATGCAAATAAGCAGTTCTGAGTAGAAAGCAATCCTCCCTTCAGGAGGGAAAAAAGTATCCCACAACCTCTCAATGATCCCCTGTGCCCAAATCTCAAACTGAGCAGCAGTGTGGTTTATTCATTAACACCAGAAATAACCAAGAACTACACTGGACATCCATGGCTGCATGCTCTTCCAAAACCAAAAGCATGACTCCATGCTCACCACAAGGCTCACAGGAACCTACCTCACACTGAGCCATCCATGGGGGTAAAACCCCCCAGAACCTGCCCTTTACCCTGCACTTGTAGCTGTCTGCCCAGCAAGGCACTCCAACCAAGAAACATCTTTGTGCATTGGAAGCAAATCTCAGAACTCAAATGCATCCTGCCGTAGGAGTTGGGAAGATTGGTTATGCCTTGAGGCAGCTCCTGGCTGACCAAGAAACATTTCTGTTCCCCTTCTCTGTCACTTCCCTCCTCCCCAGAGGATAAAAATCAAGTTGTGCAAGGAGCAGGATACACACAATGTATTGAAACAAGTTTGAAAGCAGCTTTTATAACTTCAGCCACTCAAACCAGCAACACCAACCATGTGCAAGAAAAAGACAGACATTTTTTACAACGAGGCCAGTCAGTTACTGGAACAACCTCCCCAGGGACATGGTGGAGTCCCCACTCCTGAAAGCTTTCAAGATGCACTTGCACAGAGTGCCAGATAACCCCACCTCTGCTTTCTTTCCCACAAAAGGCTGGACCAGGTTATCTTTTGAGGCCCCTTCCAACCTGGGCTGTTCTGTGATTCTATACATGTCCAAAGTAACTCAAGGCTAAAATCAGTGATGAAGGACTGACTTAGTACTTCTGTTATTTTTTCAGAGTAGATGAATTTCAGATTTCTGAGTGATAGTCCAACTGCTGGAGACAATGCCTCATTTCTGAGAAATATGAGCTGACTCCCTAACCAAGAAGGGCCAGTTTTTCTCACAGTGCTGTGGGTGTCAGACCCTCACAGGAGCAAACAGGAGTTCTCCTCTGAAGGAGCATTGACCTGCAGTTATGCACCTTAATAACCAAGTGCTGAGCAGCAAGCTGCTGTAACTAAATCAGTGTGTTCAGATCCCACCCTTCCCAACGTGGAATCAAAATACACCAGCCTGATCCTTAGAAGTCACTCAAACCACTGTGCTGGGCTTTTTACTTTGGAACTGAGCAGTGATGGGACCAGTCACAAAACCAGGACTGCAATCCCATTCATATCCACTTCTTAATTCAAGCCCTTCAAATAAGATATTTAACAGATTCTTACAAACACTTGTCAAACTCAGGGGAAAAAAAAAAAGCATTCCCCCATGTTGTCAATCATATTGCAACACTATTTCTATCATAATTAGAAGATAAAAAGGAATAGTAGAGACAGACTGAGATGAGGGAGTGAGACAGATGAAGGCAGTGAGGAGCAGTGTGGGTGACTACTCAGGGAGATGAAAAATAAGGTTTCCCAGTTAATCTACAAACCTAAATATAATTAATGCCCAACACTATATTAAGGTTTCAAAGCTGACAGGATCACTGGAAGAGAGGAAAGAAAAGTTAAAATTCCTAAGAGCACTGCAGCTCTGCCAGACTACACATTGCATTTGCTACGATGAGATATTTTAACAGCCTAATATTAAAACACGTTCAGGAAGCAAAACAGGAGTATTACATCCAGTGTCAATGAGTATCTCAGCTGTGGCAGGAGGAGCCAACTCACAGCCCAGCAACTCCTGCCCATTAAGACTGTTCTGGCCAGTTCCTCAACCACACCACACTAACCCCAGGGACTGTTTGGTGGGGACACAGCCCTGTAGGCTTGACACCCCCCCCTTCCATTTAAAGGGATGTCACAAGACAAAGGCACCCTCCTGGACAGTGCCAAGGCATTCACCCACAAGCTTTAATGGCAGTAGAATTGTCCCCTGGTGTATATTTCCCAGGGGAGAGAGCAGCTGCCAAGCACCCACATTGCATCAAGACCCTGGAGAGCTGCAAACCCCGCTACAACAGCAGGGAATGAGATACCTGGAGCCCTGTGCTGGGTTTAACACCTTTATAGGGTTGTGTGAGGGCACGTGCAGGTTAAAAACCCACACCCACAGCTCAGACTAAGGCAGAACTTCAGCACTGTGCCCACCAAACTGACATTTTATCCACACTACTTGAAATACTGCAGGAAACATCGTGCAGGGTCAACACTAGTCTCAAAAACATGTAATATTCTACAAAAAAAAAAAAGATTCTTTATCAAGTGCACTGCAAGATTATCACTCAAAAATTCCCCCTACTTTAACAATCAGGTGGTCAGGTTTAAAGCAGGCACTTGAAAATAAACTCTCAGTACATCTGAAAGTAAAACTAACATACAGAGCTTACAGAGAATTGAAAGTCAGACAGAACAAATACTGAATCAGAGTCACACCCCCCTCACAACAAGACCAGAAAGTCTTGCAGATTAATGAGGTTAAAAATACCAACTGTACAACCCCTGGCAGAGGATCCCCCAATACCCTGAGTGCTGACAAGAAAGCCACGTACCACAAAAAAATGTAAGCAGATTGCAAACCAGTTAACATATTTCTAGTTTTGGGAGAACTGGAAGTGCTCTATTAGGAAGATCTCAAACTGATATAGTTAATTTTAGTACATTAGAAGAACATTTCAGTCACTTCAGATTTCACAGAAAGGTAGCAAAACTTAAGATTATATTTATTAAATTATTACCTGCCAAGATGGTAAGTTTTACATGTAAAAGTTAAGACCAAATTTTGACGTTAAAAATTCCAAGTATGTGACACATTGTTGAGCATTAGTGTTTAACCTCCTGAAGCTGTAGGTTATTTGTGTAAGACTGGTGCTTTCAGCATTACTGGGCACCTACACGGGCATTTGTAGTCAGGTGTTACAGCAGCATTTGCCCTTTTACAAAGGCTACTAAGTTTTAAGGTAGTTTAAAGTAAGACTGATTATGTTTTGAAAAAGTTGCAAGTAGCTTTAAAGTTTCAGCCTTTCCAAACCCATTTCACATTCTCAATAATAAAACAAAAAGTCAGGAACTGAGGGTTCCTTACTGTTCAGCACTGGTGTATCTGAAGTCCTATTGCAACAAGTTGTTTGCTTCTTCATTTCCTCTTTAAAATGCAGACATGTTTAACAGACACCTTGTGAATAAACATATTTTAGCTCTCAAGGTTAATGTTGCTCAGAGATTAAAATCCTTCAAAGTAGAAGTCAAGTCAGTCACAAGGAGTCTGTTTAATTTGTACACCAATTGCTTCTCTACTTCCTGAACACCATCAGAAAGCAAGTTTCAAAATCAAGACATAAATCTCACAGCTGTTAAAAAACCCCATGTTGTCTGTAGTGTATATAAATGGTCAATCCCTCCAGTTTTCTTATATACATTCCTAACAGTTATCTTTAACAAGGTGATGAACAAAAACTTGTAAGCAAGACCAAAAATCTATAAGATAAATCTACACATTTTCTTTTGGATGCCAAAACCACCTTAAGTTGTGGACTTGTAGTAACAACCAAATGTATTTATTCCATCAACCCATTTCTGAGTAGGTTTTAAACATTCAAAAGTGCTTTTAAGAAAGAGGACTCACTCGCTTGAAGTCATTCATATTTGTGGCTTGGACTGGAGTTCCAATAAAGGTGAAGTACGTAATTCTTGTCGTCTCTTCATCACCATGATTGGACTGGACAAACAACTAAATTAAAAAAAAAAAAACACAAAAGAGTTAAGGTAAACAGTCCATCCTTGAATTAATACACAATATAGAATCATACACTTGTTCTGGTTGGAAGAGACCTTCCAGATCATCAGCATTAGATAAGCTGAATGCCATGGATTAGAAACTACAGGGTGTAGAATTAATAAACGAGGTAAGTCAGAGCTAATGAACCTAGCAGTGATATACAGAAGTGAAGTATGAACTTGCTAATACTGCCATGGAAACATTCAGGAAGTATCTCAGATTACACGTGGCAGAAAAGCAGGACAATTTGTGTCTGTGACAACTGTGCCTCTTCCACTTCATCAGGAGCCAAACAGAGGATTTTTACCCATAGGACTCCATCCCCTGCACTGCAAAGCCAGGCGGTGGCCACGATGACTGGCCAACTCATTTTTAGGAAGTCCTCAACACAGAATCCAGGTTTGGCCAGGGACTAGGGGAGTGCTGCTGCAGTGCCCACATGCAGGGAGTGCAAACAAGGTAGAACATCTATTTAATCACCTTATCGCCTGTCTAGTGTTTGCACATCATCCTGTCTAAAGCCAACACAGGATTTTATTAAAGAGCAAACATATCTTGTCAGCACAGCTCTGCAGAATAAAAACCTGTGTGATGGATCTCCATTTCACTTGGAGGAGGATAAAATTGGTTGCAAAGGCAACTCCACAGAAGTAACAGATGTGAGAGGGATTACCTCTCATTACCTCTAAAAAAACTGCTAGTAAAACATAGCTAAACATAGAAGTAGCCAAACTGATCTAAAACGTGTTCCACAAACAGCAATTTAGAAATTTACCAGAAACCTTTTTACAGAAGAAAAAGCATGATGAAAAGATTGAGGGTGGATCACTGTCTTGGAGTTAGCTGTAACTCATAAGCAGCTGGTGATTCTGTGGCCAGCCCACTAAAACACAGTTTAATTCCATCACGTGCAAGTCCATGCATTTGCAAACACATAGTTCAGGCCACTAGAAGTATTTCCACAGGTAAGAATTCAGGGGTCACAGTGGAAAAAACAGTTAACAGCCCCCACAGACCTCAGAACAGGAACTTTACTCACAGTTACACTGTTCACATTCTGAAACTTCACGTAGCGGAGCTGGACGATGCCATCTTCCTTAATGTCATCTGGTGTCAGCTCCAGGGCTTGAGTTGGTTCACTTCTTTCTGCTTCTTCAAAATCCATGGACCGAGGAAGGTTGATAAAGATTTTTATGTACTTTGGACCTTGCCCTGTGTTCAAATATAGGAGTGGTATTCCATTGTTGAAACATTTTCAAAAAGCTGCCTGAGAAGCCCTCGCTTATCACAGTCTCTAGACACCACTCAAGGCAGGCAGGAGCTTCTGTAGGTCTAGTATCTCATCTGCCAGTCCTACACCTGGGTTCTGAAGGACATCCAAAGTTGCACTGTCTGTCTGTGACAGAATTCCAGAAAAAAAATCCAATAAAAGGCCTAACAATAATATGTTAACTGTGTCCTGTAACACCTGAACATTAATTTTATAATGTATACTGAGTGGCCATAAAAGCTAAGCTATATCTTTCAGTAGCTCTCACATTAATCCTTGAATTAAATATGTTTCTCTTTGCAGCATATCCAACCATAGCAAATACTTATACTAGCTTCATCCCTAACACCCACACACAGGGACAGTGAAAAACAATTGAGATAATTTACAAGAAGTTTACTGAAGCTGCTGTGGGATTCTCAGAAGGTGAAAGGTTCCAGGGACAAGTGTCATTTCCAGAAAATCTAGCCAGACACAGACAAAGCTTTGGTTTCAAAGATATGATTAAACAGACACTTCACTCACCGTTATCTGGCCCCTGAAGTTTCATAGAATAAAGCTTGACAGGCTGACTAAAAGCTACAGTAATAAGCAGCTGTGGAGAAAAAACAGTTGCTGTTAGACAGTTTTCTTCATTCTTAAAAACAAACATAATAATTAACTAGAATTAAGTCTGATCTTGGGAATAAAACACCTTTGCTATATTCCACACATGCACTACTCTGTCACTTTACAACACCAACAAATGCTACTCCACTTGGAGTTTTCCCACACAAAAAGGTATGTGAAACTGGAAATGAGACAACAACCTTTGTATACTTATTTTACTTATACCTTACTACCACCTCCCACTCTTCCATCATAACAATATAAACTAAAGTTCTTAAACTGCTTGTAGATCAGACCATGGGTGAAAATATCTCCCTTATAAATAAGGACTGTACCTGCTCGTCACAGTCTGATTCCAAGTAGGTGGAGTCTTTACGTAAACAATTATCGAATCCATGCTCATCACTCTCATTAAGACATTCACAGCCAGCTTTATTGATAAATGGCATTAAATCCATCTGAAAATAAAGGCAAGAGCATTGCTGAGTGCATGGTAAGTGTGCCATGAACTCATCTGGGATTACTGAGTGTTGGAATGAATGAAATCCTTCATTCAACAGATTAAAATAAGAAACCACAGAAAACCTCAGGGGTTATACCAAAAGACACTACAAACAGAAGTGATGGACACTTAGTACTCAGATGCATCCTGGTCAGAACAATGACATCCTTCCTCCCATTCAGAACCCTACAACCCAGAACACAGGCTGGCCACTCTGAGAGTAGGAGATTGGGCACAGTCAGAAGAATTTCCAGATACACCTTTGATAAGCATCATAAGTCACACAACACAGACAAACTGACATTAGAATGGGCCTATGAGCAGGTAAAAAAAAAACAAACCACACACCAAGCAGAAATAGGCCTCCCCAAAAACATACTATGTGTGGCAGAACAAATTGAAAGACCACCAACATTCTTGCCAGGCTTTAAATGCAAAGCTACTCTTACTTTCCTTCTTTTTCAGCACTCTATACAAATGAACTTTACAAAACCTTTACCATATCCTTAGGTAAAACCACAGAAGACAGAAGCTACACCATTCACCATGAACCAGCTTGGTTTATTGTCAGCTCTTCTGTAAAGGATCCAGCCAAAAGCTTTAACACACACACACAGATGAGAGCAGACTGCTCTCCATGCTCCAAGCCATTTACAAGGTTACCACTCTTCATTACTGCAAAGGCAGAACAATCTGTTTCAGTTTCCAGATAACCAAATTTTTTTGCCTGCAACTAAAGTAAACGAAGTTGAAGTACAATAAGCTGGGCTAAAAGTCAAGGAATTCCTGTCTTAAGGTCTGAAGACAGTATCAACATCTCATACCACATCAATATAAATTCAATATTGGGTGCACAGCCATAGAACAGTCCAGATATAAGAAATTAAAGTAACTTTTAGGACAGCAATCCCTAATTCCCTTCTCAAAGGCACATATTAGGCCCTAAATAATAACATGCCACACTGGGGGGGAAGCACACACTAGCTTGAAGACTGCTGCATACACCACCTCAGGCCAGAGCATCACAGCACAACCAAACACACAGACAGGCTGCCAGAGCACAGAGCCCAGCTCCTGCCCAACACTGCCCCTGGCTCCTCCTGCTACCTCACTCTGAGCAAAACCACTCAGCCCTTCCCAACATCCAAATGCAGGCTTGGCTCCCAACTCCCCTGCTGGGCAGACACAAGGGAAGGGAAGGAGAATGGGAACATCTTCCTAGAGCCAACAGCTTGGGCCAAAACCCCAGCATTTCAGCCTGCCACTTACAGGCTACACAGAACTCCTGCTTGGCTCATACAGTCCAAACACACTCAGGACTTGATCCATAGGGTAAGACACCACCTCCTACCAGATTAACTTCTAATAGAAGATCCAAACAGACTCAGGACTTGATCCATAGGGTCAGACACCACCTACCAGATTAACTTCTAATAGAAGATGGTGTGTTCATCTCAAACCTGACCTAAGCAGACCTGAACTGGCCACCCGAGTGATTTTTGGTGTTTCAGGCTCCAAGGCTAACAAGCTGAACCTTTGTCTTTTGCTGTTCCCAGAGTCCCAGAGGACTGCAGAACTCTAACCACAGGTGCTCACACAAAGCAAAGCACAACACTTGCTGTGGAGCAGTCAGCAAGTAGCTGAACTGCCAGAAATTCAAGTGACCCATGTCCTTGCTGTTTTAGTGAGAAATATTCTCATGATCTGCACCCTGCTCATATCTGCCTAACAGTACCTGGTTAGCTATGAATTTACAGTACTTAACCTCCAAATAAAACCTGTGTTTGCATTCCACAACACAACTTGGGGTTTGTTAGAGACTCATCACAGCCAGGTTTAGAGTATCAGATTTGCCAACCCAACCCTGCTCACATCTGCCCAACAGGACCTGGTTAGCTATGAATTTAAAGTACTTAACCTCCAAAAAAACCTGTGTTTGCATTCAACGACACAACTTGGGGTTTGTTAGAGACTCATCACAGCCAGGTTTAGAGTATCAGATTTGCCAACCCAAACTCACATGTGCACTACAGCAAGTACCTGAGCCCTGAATTGTGACACAACCCAGCTGAGATGTGATCTACCAGCAGTATAAACAGTTGTGTGGTGTAATAGACAATCTCATTTCAGGACTGCTTGGAGAACACCACCTAAGAGGAGAGCTCTGGGAAAGTGTTTTGCCCCATCAGAGCTCTCATTCCCACGTGCCTGTCAGTAGAGCTGCCAGGCAGGCTGGGGACTTGCCACATGCCACTGCCTGGAGGTAACAAAACCAGGCAGAACGTGGTGACTGTGGTTTTCTGAGAACACCAAGACTTCTAATCAGACCCCTCCCTCTTGGAAATTTTGGCCAAAGACTCAAGTATCTGTACAAAGTTTTGATTTACCTAATGGGTAAATCATGCAGTGATTTTTAAAAAAAGTCTATTCATGAATACCAATTTTTAAATTCTTTGAAGAAAACATTGTTTAGTTGTCACAGATTTTGATGCAAGATTTAAACATTCAGTCTGAGAACTCATTTGCAAGTGTTTACTTTTTTTAAAAAATAAATTACTGAAGAGTTACAAGTTATTTTCCATGATCTGTGATGCCTGACCAGCCATTACTGGAGTGATATGCAGTACCTCTACAGAAATAAAATGATACAAATTAAACAGAAAGCAAGAGATAAGTCCTGCAGGCCACTCAGAGCAGGCACATCATCTTCTCCAAGCATTGCCACAACACTTTCTACTTGATCCAACTTTCATATCTTTGTCATTCTTTTACAGGCCAGAAGGAATCTAAAGAGAACACTTTGTAAAACCATCCACTTTTGCAAATATTAACAATCAGGAAAAAGAAAACATGTCACAAGATATCACTTAACTCACAACACCCTCCCAAAAGATGCTATTTTCAGGATAAGCTGCTGCAGAGGAAGATGGAGCTGAACTGTTATGCAGGTTAATTCCTTTGGCCACAGAAACTCCCCCTTTTTTTTTTTTTTTTTAACAGATGAAATAAAGAGGATTAGAGAAAGGGTAGGGAGCAAGAAGACAACATGAAAACCCCAAATGAACCTACCACCACATAAACAGAGGATTTCTCACAGAACTAGAGCAGATTTTCAATATTTTTGACAACCATGTCTTAGTGTCTCCTCCTCCCATGGACAGTTTTACACTTTAAAAATGTTTGGGGACAACAGACTGGGATGTCGGAGAAGAACTAGAGGAAGCAGCTACAGCAAGAATTTCATCATAAAACATTCAATTCATTATTTTAATGACTCAGGACTATATGTAGAGTTACTATGTACGTATTAATTTTTAAAGTGTGTCTGGAAAAGAAAACCCAGACAAGTGATCTCCTCAAAGCCACGTGGAACTTGCAGTTTTGCCTAAAGTAGCACTATTTCACTTAGAGCATGTTTAGAAAGCAACACAAATGTTTTTAAAAACATTCAAGTTACAGAAGCATTAAAAATTATCTTAAGAGAAGAGCTGCATACATATCCTTTGGGGATATCTGTATCTTCACTGTTCCCAGGATCATTCTCCAGGTGCTGTTTAATTTTTTCTTCTAAACCTACAGCATCTGCTCCTTGGTATTGGTCGATTCGCACTTTGTTTCGGAAAAACAGGAACGTGGGTGTTGCAGATATATTGTTGGTAGCAGCTGTTCCCTAGAATGCATAAATTAGGCACAAGTGTTACCTAACAGAGTATTACCAACACTAGACAAATATTCACTTGCTTCACCTCAGCAAGAAGGCATACACTAGATATTAATCAAGCCACACCACCCCAAACATCACAAGCAGTATTTGTTATTTTATAAACAGCTTCAACTCAGACAGTTTTAAGTTAATTTGAATTCTTCAGATTCTCCTAACCCTTTATACACTTTGAACGGACTTCACATTATCAGTACCTTTGTTGGTACACCTAAAAATCCCAGGGCTTGTCTGCTCTCGGATGTGGAGGATGGCTGAGTTTAACCCTCTCACTTTACAAGCGTCCTTGACAGCCACATCCCCTCCCCAAGCCACACTCACACACCCAGGATTAGCAGCCTGCTGCTGTTGAGGGTGAATTCCACTTGATTCCTCCTGTAGTCGTAACTGTTATGCACCCAAAGTAGTCTTCCCCAAATTTTCAATAATTTAGTGTCATTTGCAAACATTGTTACCACTGTGATGTTCATCTCTCTTCATTATACTCTCTAGTAATTCAAGACATTTCCTTCCAGCATATCATTGTTAATTTGTTAATGACTCTTAAGTCAATCAATAGCTCACCTGGAACACTGCTGTCTGTTAAAAACAGTTGAGTAGTTCTTGAGAGGCACCCAGTCCTGCTCATCGTATCAGCTTACTGCCTTTTCATTTTCCTCAGTAATTACAGCAGTATTTGTTTGGAAAGATTTACTCTTTTTCATTCTTACGGGTGCCACCTTCTATGCTTACTGGTATGATCTACACAGTACAAGCAGCAGGAACTGTTAAAGTGTCTGTACACTGCTCAAGCTAAAGGCATCACAGTGGTAGCTGCAAGAACACTTTTCTAAACAAAAATGTTGTTCATTCATGTCTCTGTGCACATCCTAATTTTGGAGAACTTCACAATACAGCTCCTTGCAATTCACCAACCGTATAAGAGCCCCAGGACATTACTCTCAGCATACTGTCTCAACAGTTTTTCCTCAAGTTTCCCATTCAGTACATTAT